GAGGTGTCATGGTGGGGCATGGAGCAAAAAGGTTAAGAACCACTGGTATACATTGTGCAATGATTAGGGTGTCTTTGTAGGAAGAGGTAATAAAAAAAGTAGTTGTTGTAGGGTGCTTTCTGTTACCTTCTTTCAACTCCAGCTTTTAATGGCCTTCCACAGTATTTCATGTGATTAATTAATTGACAGTCATTAGCTGCAGAAGTGTCTTACGGGCCAAAGTAGTAAGTGGGTATAACTTATGAAACAGCTCTCATATAAGCCTTATTGTGACCTTTGGAGTAGAAACTTCAGCTGAGTTTATGTAGTATTGCAATACTAGTGACCTTTTTTCTTTCATTGCATTCCTCCATAGAGAATGCTAGATATATATAAAACACATTTGTGTGCCTTTTATGCATCAGAAAATTTTCAAGTTTCACATGCGAAATCTTTATAATGTCCAGATAGTTAACAAACGTTTCTTAAGAAAAAACTTCTTATTTTCAGTAATTAATCTCTGTATGGATACGATAGATTTGACTGATCTCACAAACACCATAAAAAATCAAGAAATAAATATAAATTATGCCTCTTTCATTCTAGATTGAACAGAAATTATAATACGAAAACATAAATCTCATAACATTATACATATATATATATATTTATTATATTGACCTTTCAGCTGTGCCTAGCTAAGAATACAGAAGTTACAATGACACGGCTTACATGCACTCATATTATTGTATCAAATAACATAAAACTTATCTTTGGTCTGTGCAAAGTAACTTGTCCACACTGTGTTTTAGTAGACTAGTATTTTGTAAAATATAGTCAAATTTCAGTTATCATACATTATATATGAATATAGATTATTGCTATTTTGAAATAAGTTCTTAAACTTATTTTTCTTAAAACATAGAACAATAAATAAAGAAGAAAAGCAAACAATTATCTCTTCTAGTTACAACCTTTCTACTCGGTTGCTGCTTGACGAAGGCTGCTAAGCATTTAAAAAAATTGCACATGGAGGATATGAATTTTTTTTTTATATTTTATATATATATATGTTTGAATAACTAAAAAATCATAAATTACTACATCAATACCATAGAATTTCACTATAATTTATCAAGCTTAGTAACTAAGATGTATTTTAGTCTAAAAAAATATGAAATTTCGAGCAGACTAAAGACACACCCTACCTCCTTGAAATATTGGTTCAAAAGACAGAAATGGTGCTAAGTCCGTTAAAATGCCTGAGAAAGCCACTAGGGGACATTCTGAGCTTCAATTGG